GGGTCTCACTCAGGCTCATTTTAACCATTTTTAAGTGTACTGTTCAATGATATTAAGTACATTCACATTGTTGTATAACCATAACCATCATCCATCTCCAGAACTTTTTCATTGTCCCATACCGAAACTCTGTATCCATTATACAATAACTCCTCAAGCTCTCCTTCCCCTCAGCCCCTGGTAACCACCATTCTACTTTCTGTCTCTTAAGTATTTGACTATGCTAGGTACTTCTTATAAGTGAAGTCACGCAATACTTGTCTTTTTGTATTTGGCATATTTCACTTAGTATAATGTCTTCAGGGTACATCCATGTCATAATGTGTATCAGAATTTCTTTCCTTTAAGGCTGAATTATATTCCGTTGCATGTCAATACCACATTTAGTTTATCCATTCATCAGTTGATGGACATTTGGGTTATTTCTACTTTTTGGCTATTCTGAATAATGCTACTATGAATATGGCTGTACAAATATCTCAAGTCCCTGCTTTCAGTTCTTTTGTACATATACGCAGAAGTGAAATTGCTGAATCATATAGTAATTCTGTGATCAAATTTTTGAGAAACTGCCATACTATTTTCCAGAACAGCTGCACCATTTTATATTCCCATCAACAATGCATAGGGTTCCAATTTCTCTACATTCCTGCCAACGCTTGTTATTTTCTGGCTTTGCTCTTTTTTTTTTTTTTTCAATACTAGCCATTCTGGTGAGTGTGAAGTGTTAGCTCATTGTGGTTTTGATTGCATTACCCTAATGAATTTTTTTTTTTTTTTTTTGAGACAGAGTCTTACTCTGTCACCTGGGCTAGAGTGCCATGGTATTGGCTTAGCTCACAGCAACCTCAAACTCCTGAACTCAAGGGATCCTCCTGCCTCAGCCTCCCAAGTATTTGGGACTACAGGCACACGCCACCATGCCCATTTATCTATATGGCTGTCTTTATGCCAGTACCACACTGTTTTGATTACCGTAGCTTTGTAGTAAGTTTTGAAATCAGGAAGTAAGAGTCCTCCATTTTGTTTTCTTTTTCAAGGTTTTGACTATTCAGTGTCCCTGAGAATCTGTGTGAATTTTATGATGGATTTTTCATTTCTGCAAAAAAAATTGGGATTTTGCTAGGAATTGCATTGAATCTGTAGATTGCTTTGGGTAGTATTAACATTTTAACTGCATATAAATATATATCTTCTTATATATATATCTTATATATATTCTTATATATATATATATATCTTCTTAATTTCAGCAGTGTTTTGTAGTTTTCATTGTACAAGTCTTTCGTCTCCTTGGTTAAGTTAATTTCTAAGTGTTTTATTCTTTTTGAAGTGATTATAAATGGAATTATTTTCTTAATTTTCTTTTCAGATTGTTCATTTCTAGTGTATAGAAATGCACCTGATTTTTGTGTGTTGGTTTTGCATCTGGCGACTTTCTTGAATTCATTTATTAGTTCTAACAGTTTTGTGGTGGAATCTTTAGGATATTCTCTGTATAAGATTGTGTCATCTGTGAACAGAAATAATTTTACTTCTTCCTTTCTAATTTCAATGCTTTTTTTTCTTGCCTAATTGCTGAAATTTCCAATACTATAGTGAATCAAAATGATAAATATAAGCATCCTTGTCTTATTTCTTAATCCTTATTTTATAGATGTGGAAATGTAGGGCCCCAGGAGGAGAATTTATTTGCCCAAAGTTATACATGTTCATAGCAAAGCAGGAACTTGAGCCCAAATCTCTTGACTTCTGGTCCAGTATTCTTTCCATTGTATTGGGTAGTTAGAATTAAGGATAGCTGGTTATGTAAAGGAGGCAACAAGATTCCCTTATTCTTAGTTCACTTAGAATATTTTCACATGAATAAGTCATAATAGATGATGGTATTCAGGAGATGTTTTAGTATTACATGATTTTTTTTGGATTTGTAACTCTGAATTGTTATACCTGATACATGGAACCTAAATGTTTACTTAAATTTCAGAATGTCATTCTTCTCTTTATTTCTTCAGTGCAGTTACAATTGGAACTGATATGCTAGAATTGGACTGCCATATCACAAAAGATGAACAAGTTGTAGTGTCACATGATGAGAATCTAAAGAGATCAACTGGGGTCAATGTAAACATCTCTGATCTTAAGTATTGTGTAAGTAAATATGTATGATAAACTAATATCTAATAGATATTAGGGCCTGTAAGATTTTTAAAACAGTGAATGCCAGATACTGCTTCAATAAATAATTGTTTTAAATGATAGTGATTAAATAATGAATGTCAAAGGAAATTTGAAAAACTATTCTGACTTCTAATGAGGATCTATATTATATACCAATACATCTATGGAGACTTATTTTTATAAATATAATTTTAATAAAATTACCAAAGTCCTTCCATGCCAAGTGAAGGCAAAAATAAGAAAAAAAAATTGCCAAAGTCCTCAGATGTCAAACTACTGGAGTTGAACTTGCTTGAAGTGTTCTGTAATTTATTTGATTCAGATTAAAGATATGTATTAGTTTTAGTCTTCAAGTATAGGAAAGCACCATTTAAAAATCTGATCATAGCTGGGCACAGTGGCGCATACCTATAGTCCCATCTATTTGGGAAGCTGAGACAAGAGGACCCCATGAGGCCAGGAGTTCGAGGCCAGCCTGAGCAACATAGCAAAACTCTGTCTCTAAAAACAAACAAACAAAAAATGTATATATAAACTTGATCATAATAGTTTATGTGCTTATTATAGTAAATGCTGACAAATGGAAGGAAAAATAATGCCTAATTTTAACACCTAAAGAAAACTTACTTTAACAGAGTTCTATCTGTATGTATATTATACCCTGTAGGTTTATTTAGATTTGTGTTCTTACTATGTGTTATGTACATTGTGTTTTAAAACTTTATCACATGATAAACATTTTCCATGCTTTTAAAGAAAAAATAGACTTTATTTATTTATTTATTTATTTTTTGAGACAGAGTCTCACTGTGTTGCCCAGGCTAGAGTGCCGTGGCGTCATCCTAGCTCACAGCAACCTCACACTCC